CTGTACAAACTCCAGGCAGGGGTTTTATCTTTGTAAAATAAAAAGCAAAAGCCCACCCTGGTGCTTAGTGCCCTGCTGCTGGAGAGCTGAGCCCAAGTGTGCTTCAATGCTTTCCATCAGTTTCCACAGGATTTTCATCCCATGTTCACCACTGTCCTGAGAAAACAAAGCCCCAAGACAGGAAGTCATAAAGAGATGGAGCATCGTCATGTTTTGACTGATCTCTGAATGAATGGGGGCATATCAAAGTCTCAAGGAGCATTGCTAGTAAGTTCAGGTTAGTGCTTCTGCACCCTAAATTGAGCACTTTGTTTAAGCTGGATTTTGAAAGAGCTTCATCTTAAAAGAGAAAACACTGTGCTATGACTTATGCCTTAAAACTCAGGGTTTGCTTAATTTGGAGCGTGTGCAGGGCACTGCAAAAGTCTAATAGTTATCTCTTGCCAGCTGGACATTGCCACACACAAAACAGATCTCTCTCAAATACCTCTGGTGTTGAGTGAGCAAGCGTGTTCGAAGCGTGTTGGAGACGATGGCTGCTTTGGGCTTTGGATCAGGTGTTGCATGATTCTGCTTGTGCAGAGGTTCCTTGGCTGCCCACAGTTCGCCTGCCAATCCCGTGCCTGGCACCAGGTTCTCTTCCTGAGGGTTTTGCAGAATGTTATTGGGCTGTGATGCAATGGCATCCCATCCATCCTGCTGCAGCAGATTCACTCACATAGGTATGGCTGGCACTTCCATGCATGCTCAAGCAAGTTAAAATCTTACACACTCCACCTAATGCCCTGCCAGATGTTTTCACAAATATGACAGGCCATTGGGATGGCCTGAGCATGGAGTGCCTGCCAAGAATTTCAGGGACTTGTTCTCAGCTCCCTGTTCTGCCCCAGACTTCACATTCTGCCTCAGGCAAGTTACACTCAGTTCCCTAGGAGTACAATGGGAATAGCAAGTGTCCCAACTTGTGGGATTATTGCAATGGTAAACACCTCTAAGACTGCAGGATGCTGTGCCCCTGTGATCAGGACAGCCATATCACCAACTGTATAAAAAGCGACTTGAGTTCCTTTACCTGCTGAATGCTTTGGGGAACACTAAATCTGCTTCAAGATGTGGGAAGGGACTAGGTAACCATCTCAGCACTCAGGACCTCCTCCTGTGAAAACATTGGCAAATCCTGAAGGTGTTGCTAAACCGGCATGTCACCTGAAAATTTGCACCAGAAGCACCAGGCACCTGAGATTCCCCTGTTGTAAGAACTCTGTCCAGGTTGTGAATCAGGGGAATGAATTCAGACTGTGAATTCAGGGCTATGGATTAATTCAGTGAGTGAAGAGCTGCAGGGCATAATTAACTAGCCAATGCTACCTGCTCAGGAATTACCTAGAGCCTGCAAATGTTTGCAGCTTCTCCAGAGTACAGAGACACTTAAACGAGTGCAAGGGTTACTAGGAGCTTAGAAAAGTTACCAGTGGCTGCACTGCTCTCTCAAAGATTGCAATCTCCTTACACACACCACATCTCCAGAGGAGCTGCTTCTTTCTACCATCTCCACGCCTCCATCTTTTTTGCAAGAGCTGGTCTGCTAGGAGAAAGGCCTTCTTGGCAAGAGGCACCACTTTGCAATACACTCCAGCTGGTTCGGCAATGTCAACCAGTCAAAGAGACAACTGTTTGGGCAACTGAAGAACACTAGAGCATGGGTTTTAATGATTCACTGGTGGAAGAGATGTGGACTGTTCATTACAAATCCTACTGAAGATGCATGTTCTGAATGATTCTAGTAGTAACCTCTGAGTAACTTCATAAAGTATTAGATAAATGCAAAGTGGCACAAGAAAGAATGGTAGAAGGTCTTGGGGTTGTTGAACAGACAGACAGCATATGGAGTCCATTTTCACTATGAGACAATAAAGAAAAATGTTCACATGTAGAGTATTTAACATTTATATGTAAATAGAGTATTCAGTTTCAAAATTAAAAGGTGAAAGCTGAGTTATCAGTTTGTTGTTACTTGTGTGCAATAAGAGGACTCCCCAATGGATTCAAGGTAGTCCTGTTTTTATGGGTATCCTAGGATGCAGACCCTCTGCAGTGGCATAATCTAGCACACCAGCTCATCACATTGTCTAGGAATTTCCTTTTTGGTCTATCTCTTTTAAATAATTTCCAGTCCACTTTCAGAGGTAAAAATCTCTGCATTAATGCCCTTGATAACACACTAGAAGAGGCAAATACCTTGCCCCAGTTTTACCAGCCTATCTTCTCTATGGATTGTGGCTATAGAGCAGTGAGCAGTGAAACAAAAATACAGCTGAGGATCTATTCCTGCTTTCTGTGGGCAAATCATATCATATCGCTCAATCAACCTGTTAAATATAATTTAATTCCTCCTGATCCATCTTCTGAGGCTACAGGCTGTTTGCTTGTCTGTGAGGATCAGCAGGTGAGAGCAGAGTTTCCTGGTGCTTGTGATAAAGAACGGTCTGTAAGCCTATCTATGCTTGGTACCCCTGCCTCTGGTGCTGTGTGAATGGTGTGTGGCCAGTCACACCTGGCACAGAGCCACACCTGAAACCCAAACCTTTTCTGGGCTGATAAGCCAAGCCATGTAATGAGAAAGGAACGCTCTGCCTTGCTTTTGAACACACTCAAGGACACACACAATGTCAGCTTGTCCAAAGGCAGGAAGGATTTGTTTGAAAAGAGACGCAAGGAAAAAAAGAAAGCAAAACCCATATTTTTTTAATACTGAGCAAACAAAGGGAGGGTTTGGATGCTTGCAGATTAGGACTTAAAATCTGTAAGCATTAGGCTCTCATTTGTTTTGCATAAGGCCAAGGTCACAAATGACCTGAAGTTGTGGTTGTGTTGCTTTGCATGAAGAGGTGGCTAGAGTTTGCGAATGAGTAGTAAATTTGGCCCAAAATTGCTTCTGAAAGGCCCAGTCTGTTTGCTCCTTAGTGTCAAATATGGTTTGAGTTTTGGTCAAGGGAAGAATAGAGATGTTGACATCAAATATTTTCCCATGGTTTGCAGACAGCATTTTGACTTCTGTTTCAAAAGGATATTTTTGATGTGCAGAACTTTGGTTTGAAAGCGTGGAAAGAGAGAGGGCAAAGTTAAGTACCTCCAACCCTAGAATGCTGCTTGTCAAAGTAAATGTTTTGGATGGACCCTGAAGCAGGTTTCCCAATTATCTTTGTTTTGCTGAAATTGTATGTTTCCCACTTGGTTGTCAAGGCTGAAGAAAGGAAACTCTTCCCTGTAGTCCCACCTTAAATCAGACTATCAGGTAGGAGATCACATAAAGGTTCTGGGCTCATTACTTTGGGTGCAGCACAGGCAAGTAGCAAAAACAACCTTCCCCTCCCTGATGAACGCCTGAACAGGAATTAGACAGGATGCAACAAGTGGACAAAACGCAAATGGGAGTGTTGGAGGAGGATGAAATGAGGAGGAAGCTGTGCCTTGCCATGGGCGAGCCTGCTGCCAGGTGGGTGTGAGGAATAGGCTTGTGGCATAGAGGTGTTTTAAGGAACTATGTTAAAGATGCTACTCTGCCTGTTGATGTGAATTTTGAAGCCCACATGGTAAAAAATAATCTCTGCTGTTTTTGGCATTAATGACTGGTAGTTTCATCAACAAGACCTGAATGTGAATGCTGTCATGGGAGTTTCTGCTTTCTTCACTGTCTCAGATAGTGCTATAAGTCATGCTCAAAACTTGTTGACGTTGTCTGGGCCCACTGCCAAGGCCCATGCAGGAGTTGTCTGGGGGTTAGGGGGCTTTCTCTCATGGGCAGTCAACCCAAAGGTTTTCATCTTCAGAAAATGTCAGTTAACAGATCGAAGATGCTCAAAAATGCCAAATGCTCCTGGTTCCTGTTGTCTGCAAATTGGAGAGGTGGGTGGTCTGAATAAACATCAGAGTAGGACTCTCAGTAGCAGCCAAATGCTTAAGTACTTTGCAACTCAGTGGCTCTCAGACAATTACAGATATGTTTTTGTTGATCCTTCAGCAGGTGATGAACTGGAGACTTAGATCTGAGATCCTGCCTGGAGTCTGCAATTCTCAAAGCTGTGTGCAAACTTTCAGCTTGGTTCAGCAAACTTTGACGCCTTTGGAAATGTGCACCCATGTGCAGCTGAGGCAGAGAATAGGGATAAAATGAAAGTCAGTGCAAGGTAGCAGTGCAGCTACCAAATAATGGTTCAACACTTCTTTTTTTTCAGGGTAACCAACAACTGATCAATAGGCATCAACTAAAACTGTGGTCATGATCCAGCATTCGATTGATACCCGTCCTCTCAAGCCTGGAACAAATATAATTTGTTCCTTGTTGCTATTCAGGTCAGGACCCTCTTGGTGGATTTCCTCTAAAGAGACGAGAAAAGCAGCTACTAAAACTAAAGGAGAATATTATTTACTAACCACAGAGTCCTGGGCTGCTAATTAGGAGAAAGTTTCTAACACTCAGATTTTGAAATTGCTTCACAGTAGGAGCAATCAATGCATGAATGTCCTGCATAAGGATGCAGCTTGACAAATTAAAAAAAAAAATGTCACAATTACAAGAAGAGAAGGTCTACAATAGCAAGAGCTTAAATATACTAATCCGTGAGTCTTTCCAACCTCCTGTTCCCGTTGTGATCATCCTGTGATATTAGCTTTTGTTTCAAAGCAAGCTGGACTAAAACTCAACTCCTTGGTATCATCTTTAGTCTATTCCCATCCCTAACCAAGCTATTAACTTGCAGTATCAGTTATTAAAGGCACCTGTGACCCCCTACAAACCTCCAGAGACAACTGACTGCCTACTTCTCCTTCCTGATCTGGTTTGAGGTCAAGATCTGAATATGCTTCAGCATTCCAGTCCAATTAAAAAATTCAATTTGTGTTTAAAATTTGTTTGGGGGTCTTTAATTCCCTGCAGTAGATTCCTCCCCTCCTTGCAAAGTTGTAGGGAAAAGCATGTTCAGTGTTATTAAATGACTCACCAAAGTAGCCCAGTGGCTTAGTGGGCTTATGTGAGGCTTAGTGCACTCAATGGAGCACGGTGGGACACCCAGCACTGTCTGCCAGGTCAGGAGTTGAATCGGTGCTATCTGAGTGATATTATCCAGGATGCCTGGGGACAGAGGAAATTAAAAGTCACTAAAGCTTACTGCCCTGAGCCAAGACTCAATTGCAGAATCACCTGCAGGGTTGGCCTGCACACCTACTGCCTTTTTTTTTTTTCCCCTTGGTTGACTCTTAAATGTGTTTTTATTTCCAAGCCAGTGGATGGCATAAGGCTGGCTCTGGATGGCTGAAATAGTCAGGGATGAGGCAGAATGGGATTCACTGATGTGCAAAAGATCTTGGATACTGTTGGGAGTGAGGGATGAGAGTGATGGGAAATGAGCAGCTCTTTCCATTTTGACTTATGATCTCTGAGCCTACAAAAAACAGATGTGGGTGAAGGGCTTTGCAACCTGACTGGGGAGGGCAGGGGAAGGGGGGGGAAGCAGGATAAGGCTGTTCTGAAATTTTCATAAGAAGGCTTTGTTCAGGGAAAATATGAGATTTCAACTGACCATAGTTTTCTCTTTACTGGGAGAAATATTTGCTGTTGAATACACACACCCCTCCCTCCTCAACCTCCCTACTCCTCTCCCACCCAGCTTTTTTAAGCTGGAAGTTAAACTAATAGGAATAGTTTTGGATCAAATGAAGCATCCCACTTTTTTTGTTGTTTTTTTCTTCCAGTTTTTAGAAGATAATAAAAAGTTTTATTTAAAAGAGATTGGAATAGAAATATAAAATATCAAGGTGAGCTGAAAGTTCTGGAAAAAAAAATTCTTCAGTTTGACTCAAAATAAAACCTTCAGATTATTCTGAACTGCCGGTGAACCGAAAAATCAGTCATTTGCACTAATGATAAGTAACTGGCAGGTTGTTTTGCCTGTCAAATTCTGTGTCTTGTGGAGTGAGCACATTGTTGTCTGCTGACATGATCTACTGAGCTTTTTAAAAAAAATAATAATCAAATACAGCTCCTCTCTGCTGGCAATAAGGCTCACTGACAGGTGCAAGGGACTTACTTCCTCGTGTCTGGACTATGGGGATGAGGGAGCCCAATCCCAGTTTGTGCTCTCAGAAACCACCAGGGCCTAATAAACACCCCAAATTTTCCTCTGAGTAGTAATGTTCAGACACTGTCATAGCAATAATCGCTGATTATCTGGATGGCAGTGGCATCTCCATGCAGCCACCCATGCCAGGGCAGGACACAATACCACAGTGTGTTCCAATGGGAAAGGCAGAGGATAAGACGCCAGGGGGAGAAGGTAGTAACTGTGCTTTTCTCAGCCCTCTGCTAAGGGTTGGTGTTACCCATCACCATAAACAAGGACAAATGACAAAAATCAGCTGGGCCCTTCAGTAGGGTAAAGAAAAAACAGAGGAAAAAAAAGAGGAAGCTGGATGTCTCCTGGTTTCTTCTTCTACTGGGAGATGGATGTGTGTTTGGGAAGCAAGCTACCTTCACCCACAAATGATATATTAGGTACCCCATATATCTTGACACTTGTATCTTAGTGCTTGTACTTATTTACCCTTGGGTGCTTTTCTGATAACACTGCCAAAACAGAGGTGAGCAGGCTGCCTAAGCAGACTAGATGGATGGGAAAGAAGAGGGGAAATGTAATAACTGTAATTTCATGGTACAGCTACCAGGTGACTGGAGACTTGCTTAGTGAGGCAGTGTCTGAGCTGAAAGGAAGTTCTGGGAAACTGTATGAGGGTCTGGGTTTCATTTGAGGTGGTTGTGGTTAAGGTAGAAATCTGGTAGTCTGGTAATTAACCCAAATCAGAGTTTAGGGGTGTGTGAGAAATGAGCTGCCAGTGTGGGCTAGACCTCTCATCTTCATATGGTTCCTCTTGTTGGTTGTGTTGATCCCCAGGGGGTTTCTGGCCCTACATGTAGAAGGGGAGGCAGCTTAGCAGGAGCCCGCCCAGTGCAGCCCAAGGACTAACTGCCAGCAAGGCTCTTGGCAGCCCTGCCATGCTGTGAGAGCAATCCTGAGGCTGACATCTATGGGATGGGAGCTGCAGGACTGACTGAATGGTTGTAGTAGTATAGGGTATTTGTTTTAAGTGCTTCAGGGTTTAGGTTAAGTCTGGTGATTCAGTATTTTAGTTCTTTTAGACCCTGCATGGTTGCTACCCTAAGGAAAGGGAACCAGTCTAATGAGTAGGGCATGCATAGGAGCCAGGTCTAGATCTACCACCAGCTTGCTGTGATCGCTGGAGATCTCTTGTGTGGATAGAGCAAAACTCAGTAACTATGTGCACCCCTCCCCAAGGAGCTGTAAACAAGGTCTATTTCTCAGAAAAACATTCAGGCCATGGTACAAGTAAGCCTCACTCTAGAAGCTAAACAGCCTGCCGTAAATCCGAGTAGAATTACACGTAGCGCTGTCCTCTATTCCCCACTTAAAAAAAAATAATTACTTTAATTTTCCTACCTTTACTTGGGTTTATTCTCTAAAACATGAGATGCCAGCTCCATCAGATGCCTGTGCAGTCACAGCCAGCGTGGTAGGAGAAGGGAGGACAGAGCCGGAGCAGGTGCTCATGATTCCTTTGCTCAGAAACTGCCTTCCACACAGCCTTGGTTGGCTTTTTTTTCCCTAACTAACTAAAAGAAGTCCAAACCACTGTCTGGTCCTTGGTGCCAGAATTCCCAGACCAGCCAGGTACCAAATCACAGTGCAAATAACAGTACCAGTAAATGGCTGCTTTCCTTGTGCACCCTCCTGGGTGCCCCAATACTTTGTTCCAAGGAAAGTGGCATGAAGGCTGCAGGAGTGTTCCTGCTTTCTGCAGACCCCATCTGCAGAAGGATGGGGAGCTGGTTTCAACAGGCAGCACTGGCTGCCAGCTCCTGCCTTCTTTTGCCGGTTGCAAACAGCATTTCCTTATCGGGTGATGGGTCCTGGTGCCAAGTCCTGACTGCCCTCGTGTACCCTTGCAGCTTTCTGCTCTTCTGCCATGAACATGACCCATGTCATGTGTTTCTGCTTGGTCCTGACCCTTGTCATGGGGAGAAAGGACAACAAGAACTAGCTTTTCATCTTCAGATGTGCTTGGTATTCACACCCTGGGTGCTATGCCATGCATGATAATTACCATGCCCTCCTCACTCTTATCCCAAAGGAGACTGGTTGTTCTTCCTTTTGCCTTCCTCTTTTTATACTTGTACAGGTACTGTGTGCACCCCAGTGTTCAATTAACAGACAGTTTGTACCATCTTAAGAAGAAGCAGGTGTTGACCATGCAGGTCTTGGATAGTAATTTCCATGAGAGAAAGGAATAAACTATCTGTAGCAGACAATTAATTCACGATACAGAGGACAATGTGCTGGGTCAGTAAAACTTGTAGTATCTGCTGTGTGTCCCATCTTTTCAAATAATAGGCTCTGCCCTGGAAGAGAGATTATAGGATGTAATACAGCACTACCAGGAAGAGGACAAGGCAGGATTACTGGATCTTTTTCACTTATCGTAACCTGTGCCCTATTTCTATGGAAAGAAGGTGAATAGGTCAGGTGGGATGGGATGATAGCTCTTTCCATAAAGACTGAACATGAAAGAAATTGCCTAAGCAGCAACAGGAAGGAGTTAAACCCCAGCACAGGGAGCCACAAAATCTCCACTGGATCGAAAAAAAAATAAATCATAGTCTTTAATTTTTAGCTTTCCTTTATGGAAGTTGCAGGACTTTGTTTACACTGACTGCAAAGCCAAACCAAGATCAACATGCCCTTGATTTTGCTTTGCATGTTAAGTACTGCATATTTACCCCTTGCCACCTAATTTGTGAATTTGCCAGGAATCAAAACATCCATTTAAAATAGCCAGGAAAACAGCAAAACATGAGTACAGCTAGATCATTATCTAATGCATGGTTATGATGTACTGAAGGTGGCTTTGCAAAGTATGATGAAGTAATAAAATGAATCTAGACAAAGGAGAATAAAATAACATTTAGAAACAAAAACAACAACCAGAAAACCCCAATCCCAAACAAAACACAACAAAACCCCAAACAAAAGGCAGAAAAAACCCACGGAAAAGTTTTATTTGCTCCAAAAGCTGATTCTTGGTAGAAATTAAACTGAAACATTTCAGATTAAAAATATTTTCCCTGTGGAAAAGCAGTGGAGGCTCGTAGGGTATCCAAGGTGGTATCCAAGGTTGTCTCCTTTGAGATGGGCTTCATGGGTGAACCTCAGTCTTTCCCAAAACCCTCTGGCCTATTCCCCAGGGAGAAAGGAGGCTGCAATTCAACCTTGGGCTGAAAACCTGGTAAGAAATACAGTCCATCTGGAGAATGAGGGAAGAGAGACCCCTAATCTTCAGTGTTCATGCAAGTCAAAGGTTTTTCAGGGACAGAAGGGGAGTGAGTGGTGAGCATGGGGCAGCAGTGATGCATGAGCTGTTGCATGCAGATTTCAACATTATTTTTGTGGATGCAGTTGGTCTAATTTGCCCCAAGTTGTCTGTCTTGACAGTAGCATAGCCACGTAGGAAAGAGGAGAGTCTGTCTTGCTTAAATTGTTCTTTGTATTTGGTTGGTTTTCCCCTAGAAACAATTTGGTAAGGAACAGCAGGCTTTGAAGTTAAACCCAAGTCTTTATGAGAAATACTGCAAAAAGTGGTTTTTATAGAACTTTTGGTTTTAATGACCTAGGAGGATCTCTGACTTTCTCTCAGTACTTACACCTTACTGTTTCTCAAAGCATAATGTTCAGCAGAAAAACAAAAGGTAGTCTTATCACAAATCTGAGACTGTCAACATTTTATTCCATTTTTCACAAGTATCAGACAATGCAGATATTGGTCCATTAGAATACTGAACCGGGAAAAATTATCTGCCTGGTAATTTGTGAGTGTTGGGATGTCTCATGGTGTTTATGCCTTAGTTTTCCCATTTGTAGAACAGAAATTGTTATGGTTTTCTGTTTTCCAAACATCCTTGAAAGCTGGATGGCGATGACCATATGATGTTTTAATAAGTGAGCAATCAAAAAATGTATAAATGAAGTAAAATTACATTAAAAAAATAAGTAAAGGACACTTTTACTTTCTACCTGTTTTTGTAACGTGTCTTATGAAGGAAGGGGAAATCCTTCTGCAGCTCAGGTTGTAAACTGAGCTCAGCTGCATTATTAGACATCAGAAAATCCAGCCTGGCAGGAGCAAGAGGAAGCCAACCTTCCTACGCATCACTGTCAGGGAGCTATTGCACTGATTCCAGTGTGGTGGTAATGAATTATCTTTGGAATTGTTGGGCTTTTTATTTCTGAATCTAGGTTCTCAAAAAAGGAAAGTGCACAGGATTTTCAGGGTTGCTAAGAAAGCAGCAAGAGATATCAATCTGAATCTTATATTGTTGTTGATGCACAATGGAAGTTAATGAGGTTAGCTGGAAGTGTTAATTGTCCTACACTGCTTGCTGTCTACGCTTGCTCTGGAAAATCCATGCATGGCAGCAGCTGAAAACTCAGCAAAAAGTGCTTTAACAGAGGAAATGGGCAACATTTGGCCCAGTAAAATCATAATGCAGGTGGCTGAGAAATCACTCACTCAATTATATGCATGAGGGGGACTCCATTTAAGAGCAACATTTGGAGCTTTATGGGCAACATAAAAGGAGAGAGAATGAGGTTTTTATATCGCTGCGCTCAGTTGTAGAAGAAGCGGGAGGTTGTTTCCCACCCCTTTGCATATGCTTGGACTGTGCAGGGAAAATGAAAATGTCTGCTCAGAGATTTGGCATAACACCTGGGGAGGATGGGCTGGAGCTATTCCAAAGGCCCCCTGCACACAGCCTGCTACATCCCCTATTATAGAGTGATTTCATGCATTCAGGACTGGGCAATATCAAAACAAAAGCCATACTCTAAAAATAAAACCTTTGGCTCCTTTACTAGCAGTAAACTCTCAAAGTAAAAAGTTTTCAAAAAATATGATCATAATTAATTGTTGCTTTTCTTGTCCCTTGGCAGTTGCTAGAGCAAGTGAAGTAAGATTATCTCCCAGCACGCACAGCTCCTGCCATTTTTATCATCCTTCTGTCTCCTGTAGGGACCCTCCCGGCCCCTGGAATATCATGAGTAAATCTCTTTATTAAAGCTTTTTTTCTAATGCTTATGTTGGCTGAGGGAAAGTGCACAGGTAAGAGTGAAACACCTTCCAGGGCAAAGTATTTGTATTTTCCTTTCCTTTAAATCCTTTTAGTGCCTTAATCCCTGATTTTTGTGAGGCTAGGGCTCCCAGTTCTATAACTCTGACATGGCAAGGGCTGTGTCCATGCTTTCCTGCAGGCATGTCAGTACCTGCACTGTTCCCATCCCTCCTTCCTACTGTTGATTAGAAGACCCAAAACATTTGTTTTCTGCTGGTATGGATAGTCCCTTCAATCTATTTAGAGAAGATCCATCCACTAGCTCAGTGCTCTCTTTGCATTTCTAGCAGAGAAATTCCTAATTTATTTTTGTATTAAACAAAATACAAAACCACCACAAATACCTTAATTTTTTTTCCCTGCTGTAAAGCTTGACATCTGGGCCTGTAACAGCTCATCAGTGGATTTGTGAGATGAAGCAAATGACATTTCTATATAGAGCACTGGCTGCTGTAGAAATCAGATGGTGAAATGGAATTGCAAAGAATTTGGTATTGAGTGATGATCTTCATCCAAGGATCTCGGAGTACAGCAATCCCCACTTTGCTGACACAGACGATGGGTGACTTACTCCAGCCTGCACAGCAAAATTGGCCTCACAGCTGCATATCTCTGGAGACCTGTACATAAACACAAGTACCCTGGAGCAGGAATCACATCTCTGTGTTTTATAAAGCTCTTTGTTAGAACAACTTTTTGATCCTGGTGTGGACAGAAGTGCATCTGTAAGTAGCTGTACATGAAATACTTGTTCCATCCTTGCCATGCATGCAATTTCCTTGGATATTTTCTTGCTCCATTGCCTTGGCAGAAGACAACTTGTGCCTTGCCTCCCTACACACATGCAATCTGAGCTGTAGTCTGTATAAACATAGTTTCTGTGTGTTAAAACACAGCATGAGGTCAAGGCAGCACTCGTGCTCTGTCCTGACCCCAGCAGCACTACACCAGAAAAAAGTCTGGAAAGCTGCCAGCAGAACTGCTGGGAGTACAAAGTCAAACCAAAACCAAAGACCTGAAGCAGTTTTAATATGAACCTGGTAAACTCCTAGGATGTGTTTACTTTCAGCAGCAGGAGACTGGACTCAGCAGCCTGAGTGTCTCTTCTGTCCCCTGTTTGTCCTCCTGAGGGCTGGTGATCAGGTCCCTGCCCCAGCCATGCCTAGTGGTTCCCGTGGCCACATCCCCAGGCTGAGCTTTCCCCTTCCCGCTGGTGCTGAACGCCCAGCCTCAGCAGTGCTTCCCCAGGATAGCTCCTTGGCTGGAGCAGAGGGAGTTGGCCCTTGTGTGGAACGGCAGTGCTGCCCTGACTGCGGTGCCTTTCACTGCAGAGAGGCAGGAGGACGTTGGGGACCACAGTTCATCTCCCAATGCTTGTAAGCCAACTCAAAGAGTAGAGGCACACTGCTGTGAGGATTTTCAGTGATCCTTGGAATTGCTTTGTTCCTCCCCAAGTGCCCAGCAGTGCTGTTGTGCTCTTGCACTCTTGCTGTTGCCCCTCCCACAATGCCAAGATCTTCATGGTGTGCCCACAAGAGTCTGCAGAGTTCAGAGCACCCTTACACAGGCATTTTCCAGTGTGTGACT